ACTGAAGACAAATCTAAAAAAAAAAAAAAAAAAAGATTGCCTATGTTGACTCTACCTATCCAAGAGCATCAGAGATCTTTCTATTTTCTTGTATCTTCTTTAATTTCTTTCTTTAAATACTCAAAGTGCTAATTATATAGGTCTTTCAGTTGTTTAGTTAGCATTACCCTAAGATATTTTATGTTGTTTGTGGCTGTTATAAAAGGTGATGTTTCTCTGGGGGGGGGGGCTGGTCTGTTGGATGGCTTACCCTAGGCACATTCCCCAGCCCTCAGGAGGCTCTGAGCAGGGCCCTGGTAGGCAGGCCAGAAACAGGCCCAAGTATATCTCCTATCCTGTTTGCAGGTGGAACCAGGACACTGGTAGAGCCTTGGAAGATCCTCCCCCTCTTGAAGGCAGTCCCCAGTACTCAAATGTCCTCTGTGTGCGTTCATACAATTGTGTAGACAAAATAAATGTGTGGAGAAAATTGCTCTGCAACTGTTAACATTGGGACAAAGGAGATTACCAAAGTGAAAGGAAGGAAGTTTTTGAGGTGCTAGAGCTATCTTGTGACTGGTATGCATTTATCAAAATACATGGGACTACATATCAAGTATAGTGTACTTCATAAAATTGGAGGTGTAATTTAACTATTTCATTAATATTTATTCTATCCTGATTATAATTTCCCCTCCCCCTATTCTTCCCAGTTTCTCTCTACCTCCCCTCCCATCCAAGTCTACTACTCCCTTTCTTTCTCTTATTAGATTAAAAAAAAAAACAGGCTTCTAAAGATATCAACAAAACATAGAAAAATAAAATATATGACAATACAAAAACACTTACATTAATGTTAGACAAGGTAAACCAAGAAAAGGAAAAAAGTACCATGAGTAATCACAAGAATGAGAGATCTACTCATTCACACATTTAGGAATCCCATAAAAGTACTAAACTGAAAGCTAATATGTATAATATATGTATATATATATATGTATATATATATATATACATACATACATACATACACACATACACACACACACACACACACACACACACACACACACATATATATATATATATATATATATATATATATATATATATCCTGGTGCAGAATCATATGTGTTCTGTGGCTTCCTGCTTCAGTCTTTGCTCAATTGATTCAGAGAATCTTGTTCTCTGGCTGTCCTCCATCATTTCTGGTTCTTATTACCTTTCTACCTCTCCTCCAGAGGAATTCCTAAGCTTTGGGGAGAGAGATTTGAAGGAGATATCCCATTTAGAGCTGTGAATTCCAAGGTCTCACTCTCTGTGTTATGTCTATCTGTGAGTCTTTATATGTGTCCCCATCTACTTCCAAAAAGAAGCCTCTCTGATACTGGCCAAGAAAGCACTGGTCTATGAGTGTAGTAGACCCTAGGTCCCTAGAATATCTGGTTTTTAGGTTACCAAAGCAGTATGAGGTGTGGGTTCCATTTCAAGGACGGGTCATTGCAGCAAATCAATTATTGGTTGGTTACCCCAAGTTTTGTGGTACTATTGCCCCAGCATTCCTTGCAAGTAGGACAGATTTTATATAAAAGTTTTTGTGGCTAGGTTGGTGTTTACATTTCTCCTTTGGTATTTGGTAGGGTAACTTTCCATAGTAAAGATACTAGTAGATGTAAATTCTAGGTAGCACCAGCTCACCCTCTCCATATGCCATAAGTTGTGTGGGTGTTGTCTTCAGCAATGGAGCCTTGCTCTCAGCTTGTGGAGAGCAATTTATTGTTTGACAATAGCCTAGGTTTTTGGAGGTTTCCATGGAACCCCTTTGGACAACAGCTTCATTGGTGTAACTAAGTTGGATGTAACTCTGTGGCACAGAAAACTTTCTGAACACAACACAGCCAGCAAAAGGCACTAAGATCAATGATTAACAAATGGGACCTCATGACGCCTAAAAGCTTCTCTAAGGCAAAGGACACAATTGTTCAGACAAAGTATCAGCCTACATAATGGGAAAATAGTTTTTTAATGACTCCACATCTGGTAGGGGCCTAATATTCAAAATTTATAAAGAAATGAAACAACTAGTTATCAACAACAACAACAAAAAAATCCCAACAAATTAATCAACTAATAAGTGGGGTATATATCTAAGCAGATGATTCTCAGTAAAGGAAACTCAAAAGTCTAAGACACACTTAAAGACATGGCCATCATCCTTGACCATCAGAGAAATGCAAATCAAAACAACTTTGTGATCCATCTTACCAATGTCTGATAGTCTAAGACCAGTTATACAAGTATCAGTTCATACTCCAAGGAGGTTCTGGAATAAGAGAAGTACTCATCCACTGTTACTGGAGTCAAAACTTGCACATCCACTATAAAAATCAGCATGGTCATTCCTCAGATCATTGGGAATCAATCAACCTCAAGGTGCAGGTGTGCCACTCTTGGGTATATATCCAAAGGACACTTTATCCTACCACAGAGTTACTTGCTCAACCACATTTATTGCTACCCTATTCATAATACCTAGACACTGGAAACAACCTAGATGTCCATCAACAGAGGAATGGATAAAGAAAATGTGGTGCATTTATATAATGGAGTCTTACTCAGCTGTTTAAAAAAAAAATAACATCATGGGATTTGCTAGCTAACCCTGAGTGAAGTGTGGTCCAGACCTAAAAATATAAAAATGACATGTAGTCACTTATTTTTGGATAGTAGCTATTAAATAAGGATAATTATGGTATAATTCATAGAACCAGAGATGTTAGACACTACAGGGTGGTGGGGAAAAAGGATCTCCCTGGGAAGGGGAACTAGATTGTATGGGTTTCCTGAGGGTTGAGGAGGTGGGAGTGGGAGGACCAGATGGGGAGAATGATAGGACACAGAGACAGTTGAATGGAATTTGAGAACATTTTAGATATAATATGGAAACCTAGTGCACTGGAAACTCTCTAAAACATATAAATGTGATCCTAATGAAGTCTTCAAATAATGAGGTAGAGTTCCAATTGACCATCTCTTGCCGTCAAATGAAACTCAGTGTCAGAACTGGCTTATATACAAATTTTGACTATTTTTATTAGTAGAATTGTATGCAGTGTGTTTTGTTCATATTCATACTCCCTCCCCAATTCTTCACAGAACCATCCCTTTCCTTCATATCCAAATTTGTCTAATTTACCTCATGAGGCTATTTTGGCTTCTCCAATGTTTTTGTTTTTGTTTTGAGTGTATGTGTGTGTGTGTGTGTGTGTGTGTGTGTGTGTGTGTGTGTGTGTTTGTGGGTGTCCTTCCTACTAGAGCAATGGTTCTCAACTTTCAACTTTCCTAATGAAACCCCTTAATACAGTTCCTCATGTTGTGATCCCAAGCAATGAAATTATTTTGGGTTTCTTAAGTAAAGGGAAAAATTAAAACACTTTCCTTTATCCTGTCTTGAAGCTGAAAAGACAGAACTCTGCAGGGGGAAGGCTGGGTGTTCATGAACAAAGTATTAAAGTAGATTTTAAAAGAGAGAGGTGAGCCAGGACATATGATTATATACAGATGATCCCTTTTGTAATTCATGAACGTTAGTTAAAACCTCATTCAATTTTTTTTTTTAGTCTTGTTTCATCTGTATTATGGGATGTTAGACAAAGGTTATGTCATGAGTAGTTCAGATTAAATGGGGCCAGACTGACTGAACTGCGTTGAAGGTAAGCATAGAGCTGAACTTCTTGAAGATCCCCCACTGTCTGTAGTAAAGCATCCAGGTACATTCTCACATAGCAGAAGTCTAGGGAAGAATTCCTACAGAGTAAAAGTTAGACCATATCCTTATGAGTTACTCAAGAGTCCAAATGGAGTGGGTGCCTGTCTCAGACAGTGAATCAAATTTTATTTGGTAGATGGCAGAAATAAACTATGCTATTTGTGTTTTTTAAGCCAGAGACTCATCGTGTAGAACAGGATGGACTAGACCTCATGGTAAACCTACTGCTTCTGCCTCCTACAAGTTAGGATTACAGATATGAGCCAACATATTTGAGCAGCTATTGGCCTTTTGGAAATGATTCCCAAATGATCTTTTGTCTAAACTTCTTTCCTGATTATATAATGTTGCTTGTTGGTTTACATTCTCAGGAATTAAGGAGGCAGCATTTTTTTTTATTTTAACAAAACAGAAGAAAGTAAATTCATGCAAAGATGACTAAAAACAATGGTATTTAAATTTCCAATAGAGAAATGCCCAAAGAAGGGAAATAATATAGATAGTAAAACTAAAATCAAAATAAATCAAACAAACAAACCAATCCCCCTCCTGTTTCTTTCCTGTTTCTTTCCTAATGAAAAAGAGAAAGAAAGGATATGAATTTGGGCATGTGGGGAAGTTGGGTGGGGGGGAATCTGGGAGAAATTCAGAAGCTGGGAAGTGGAAACCTTAATCACAAAATATTGTGTGAAAAATATCTTTTCAATGAAAAGAAGCCACTCATAATGGTATACTCAAGAAAAAATAAACAGGGTTTGAAATCAAATATTGAAAATATAAACCTTGTACTTGGGAAGAAAAGTAACAAATAAAATAGAATACAATAGCATATCCCTGTAAAATTATCAGACTCAAAAATAAATCTGCTTCACTATCAAAATTTTCAAGAGTAAGAAAAAAATTGGATTATTTTCAAATACCATTTAGAAAATTTTCAGTAAAAGAAAATTTTATATATGTCAATGGTTTAATAACTAGTCTATACTAATAAAGTATTTAATGATAGTAGTGCACAGTTCTCAAATTCATGAAGCATGAATTTGGGGACCACCATAATAGTAGTAAATTATAACCAAAGGGAAATATACTACCTTACATTTCACAAATACAGACTTTAGAAGACAGAAAACTTAATAATCATATGAAGCACACCTAGTAACATTTAATTGATTCAAGTCTAGTTTTAGACAACACAGATTATATTGCTCTTTTCACAACTAAAGTATTTTCACAATTAAAGTTTATTGAGGGAAAATGTAATTATAAATTCTTGTCCAGCCAACTGATGTACATATCTTTTATCCTCAGACCTTGTTGTAAGTAAAGTGGTGATGTCATATATGATAAAGCTCCATGGATTCCATCCTCAACATGGTCATGAAAAACTTGAACTCCAACGTTTTGAAGTCTTGTAACATACATAATTCCATCATCCCTCAGGACATCATATTGACAGGTAAGAATGTATGTTCGTGGCAAATGCTGTAATCGGGCATCATCGGCTAACAGGGGCAATGCTCTGTGATCCATCAGTGCTGGTAGTGAGTAAGCAGATCTCCCCAGCTCAGGCTCAGTGTACATGTGGTCCTTTCTATACTTGTCAGGAAGAAGTACACTCCAGTTAACAAACCTGAAGAGATGTCTGGACTCCAGAGGCATGTGCTGGTTTTTTCTCATTGCCTGTGGAAGTGCCTCATCCTTGGTGAAAAACAAACTCACGAGTTTTATGGCTATGTCCCTTGTCAGAACTATGCCATGTTCATTGTCTTGATGAGAGGGCAAAGAAGTGTCAATCACCTGTAAGCCAGGATAAAGTAAGGCTTGCAGCTTGAGTTTATGCTTTACTTCAGGATCAATCTGTACCTGAAAAATATGATGTCCAGTGAGGCAAAGGCTTCCAACATTCAAAAAAGACAAAATGTACTCATGATGCAGGCATGGAAAATGCAATTCACAGAATGCTGCTACAAAGTATGGTTAAGTCAAATATGACTATAATACCCTTAATCAATACTAAGTGTTAAACCATTGAAATATCAGTTGAAAACATTTCTTGGGTATTTAAGAAAGAATGAGAGAAAAGATAAAGGGGTACAGTGACAGAAGGTAAAAGGAGGAGAGATATGCAAGTATGTTTTATCAAATGATATTATTAGAAACAACACAATCTTAAAGGTGATGGAGGAATTTAAGTATTTATATTTGTAGAAATTATTCTAGACAATTGGCCAAGGTGCAGAGGATAAGAAACTGTGATGCTCATCCTTAAAGGGACATCTGTATGGCTTAGCTACTCCTAAGTGTCAGAAGCAGAAAGATTTGAGAACCAGAGATAGTGGATGGCTACATGGAAACTGCACACAGCGGGACAGTTGCACTTATGAACTCATGGTGACTGTGACAGCATTTACAAGATCCGTGTAAGCCCAAAACAGACTAAATCCCTGTCCTGAGAGAAGTGAGCATGAAGTGTAACCCTTAGAGGAGTATCTTTTAACATTTGATACATGCTGGGAAAGGGAGAGTCAGTTCCCCTAAGAGTGTAGCTCCTAATAGATTGAACATGATACAGTAGATAACCCCACATTCAGGACTATGTGGGCAGGACAAATTAGACACTCTCTCTCTCTCTCTCTCTCTCTCTATATATATATATATATATATATATATATATATATATATTTAAAGAGGACATAAACTTAGGTGGTTAGGGAAGAGGTGTGTATATCTGGGAGGAGTTAAGAGAATGGGTGAATATGATCAAAACACATGGCATGGAAATTTTTTTTGTAGAACTATTTTTCTTTTTTCTTATTGAAAATAAATTCTTCTCTCATACAATATATCCTGACCACAGTTTCTCTTCCTTCTACTCCTCACTGCCCCATATCCCTCTGTCTCTATTTCCATTCAGAAAAGGGTAGGCATCCAAGAGACAAAAACCTAACATGAACAAACAAAATACACTAAAACAAGGCAAAAGTCTTCATATCAAGGCCAGACACGGCAACCCTAGAAGGAAGAGTCCTAAAAGCAGGCAAGAGTGTCAGAGACACACTTCACACTTGCTTCCCCTGTTAGTAATCCCCCTCCCTCAAGGAAAAAAAAAGAGAGAAAGAAAAACCACCAAGGGAACAGCCATAATATATTCATAGAAGACATGGTGCAGACCATTGCATGTCCTGTGATTGCCACTTCAACAGGAAGTTAATTTCTTTTTTAAAGAAGATGAAACCAAGCACACTAGTATCTAATATGATAAAGAAAGGAAGGATCCTCCTCATCAGGACTTAGAAAATAAGAGAAATAAATCTTCACTGAGATTCACAGGAATCCATTCTGATATTCTACAGCAGATTTTAGAACAGGCTAAGTATATTTGTGTATGGAGAAGGTATTGCCTGAGAACCACCTTAGCTTGTATATTGATGCCACGGTGAGAAATCATGTTGAGTTCAGAACAGCAATGAGATATAAACTAAAGGTATAGAAAAACTAGTCAAAGTAATTATAGTAAAACGTTCACCAAACCCAAATACAGTAGAGATTTAGTATTGAAAAATATTCATTGCTAATATCAATTTTGCATCACATTATTGTTAAAATGTTAAAATGATAATACAGAACAAAGAAAATATATTTTAAGATTGAGAGTGTAAAATGGCTTACAAAATGAAAGGAAAACTCTAATGAAAAATTTGTAGGATATAATAAACTTTCAAGTAATTATAATATGAACTGTGAAAGGAATAAAACCTTAGGACAGAAGAGATTTGTCAAATGTTACTATAAACTGGTAAATATTCACCAAATGTTTCTACAAAATAAGAAGGGTAATGACTCTTCCAACATCATTTTACAAAGTCAGTACAGCATTGATATCAAAGCAGGATGAGTCAGGAAAAAAAGGAAAATCAAAGACCAGACTCCAAGGCAAACACAGACTGAATGATCATCAACAACCTAATCAAATTAAATGACACTGGAAAAGGTCATGTAATAGGACCAAGCTGTTTTTATTCCAATAGTGAAGAAATGGATCACCACATACAAATTTATAAATAAAAGAATAAAGATTGAAATAAAAGATGCAGAAAATTCTCGTCCATGCATGTACCATATCTTCATGATAAGGCAAAATCTCAAAGAAATTAGGTAAGACAAGGTCCATTTGAGAATTACAAAGGCTATACACAGGAAACCAATAGCCACCTATAAACCAAATGAAAATAAGACTAAAAATATTTCCTCTAAAATTATAAGTGGGACAAAAGTATCTTTTCTCCCCCATCCTTCTTCAAATAACAGTGGAAATCTTACCTGAAGCAATGAGAAAGAAAGAAATGATAGGATATAAACTGGAAAGGAAGAAACTGATTTCTCAGTATTTATTGATGATAGTTAAATGCACTTAAAAACCTATAAATGTTCCACCAGAAGGCTCTTAAATCTCATAACTACTTTCACCAGAGAAAAATGAAATAAAATCAATCATTGCTTTCATGAACCTTGTTGCAAAGTTTAATAACCCTTTCATTCTTGTATCCCTCATGCCTGTAAAACTAGGACCACTTAGATAGTCATATTCAAGTGCCAGTAATCATTGTATCCTTGTCCCCCTGGACAAGGCCTCTGTGTGTCTTCATGGTTTAACTAGGGGAAATTTCCTCAGGCATTTTACTTTGAAATAAAATTGTATGTTGAGCCCAAAACACTTGTTCAGTGAATCTTGCTCTCAAAGCATATTTCCTCTTGTAGTACGAGAGTTCAAATGTTCTCCTCAATGACCCTAATTTCTTTAATAACCATAGTTATTTTGTCTGAACTCTCCTTGTCCTCAGCTTATCTAGATATAAGCTCCTTTGCTAATCCACTTGTGCATTTTTTTTTTTTTTTTTTTTTTTTGCATTTTCTGCCTGGCTTTATGCTCTCATCTACTGTAAATCTAATGAATTATGTAAGCAATAATTTACACAGCCTTACCACTACACAGTTGTAAAGTTACCCTTGGCAAACAAATTAGTTCATTACTTTTTAAATTAGGGGTCACTCAAATCTCAAGATAAAGGCAGACATCAGCAAGATACTATGAGAGAAGCACAAATTGCTTCTAATCTGATTCCCAAAGAAGTATGAGTTCCCCATGGAAACCGCATGAGCACAGTTTTCTTCATTCTCATTTCAGTGAGCACTGGCCTCTTTCAAACTCTCCCTGTTATCTGCCAATCACTGCTTACAACACTGTACAGCATCTCTAGGACACATTCCTTCTACACAGCCATTAAAGTTGTGTGGTTAGTAGCCATAACAATCACTTCAGCTCTAAGTGCCAATTTTCTATATCAGTTGCTTATGTTGTTTCTATTACAGAATACCTGGGAAAAAACCAAGGGAAAAAAGGTTTATTTTAGCTTACAGTTGGATTGAAATAGTTCACCACGGAGAGAAAACATAGCAGGTGGATTTGTGTCTGTGAGACTAAGTGGCTGTCACTTGCTCCTATTTCAGTAGAACATGGAAGCAAAGATGTGGGCCAAAGCAGAGCTGATCTACAAACAAAAAGACAGGTTCCCCAGTACCCCACTCTAGCTCCTTAGAATCACATAACCCTCCCTTCTAAGATCCTAACTCAACGTTAGCAGTAAAGGATATAATAGATAAATAATATCAACAGTCAAACTGTTTCAAAGGGCACATGTAGACTATTTGAACAAATGAGATATAATTATTCTTGAAACTACCAATTTCTTAAAGCATTTAGTACATTTTAAATGTATATGAACAAGACGGAAAGTTAGAAATATTTCAAACTTTAAAGTAACAACAATGACTAATGATACTATAGTGGAGGCCATATTCAGCACAATATTAAAGGGGGGGGCATAAGGATTGGAAAGGAAAAGTCTAGTCATTAAAGATATGGTTGTGAAAAAAATTCTAGAAAACTGAATTATAAGAGGCCTTATCCAGGACAAGAGAGTATGTAGCTCATATAAATAGCTGCTATAATTTTAGGTGCCATCATTTGATAACTATTTAAATTATTTTCAAAAAATAAGTATAAACTAATTTCAATGTGAGAATTACATTATTTCTACACTTGAGCATTTTAATATTGTTGAGGAATTAAAGAGACCCTACATAAAAATTATGTCTACTTCTAGTGCCCTGCTTGGAGCATCCTGAACTAAGGACTGAGGATTGCTTACAGGGGAGCCCACCATATCTGACCAGCTCATCCAGAGTCTGCCAGCACCCTGGTCCAGCCTCCAACCACAGAAGGAGTCCCACCACCACGCACTGGAGTAAGTGAGCCATCGGACTATTGGAACTGCATGAACCCACCAGAAGAGAACATTGGTCCCATACCCAGCAAAAGAAGGAGAAACCCTACCAGTATGCACTGAAAGAAGAGATGGGTTAACGACAACATAAGGAAACAGTCAACAACAGAAAGATCAATATGATGCCAATAGAGCCAATAGGTCACCAGTGAGACCTGAACATCCTAACAGAGATAAAGCAGAACAACCCTAAAAATATCTTTATGATGATGATAGAGACCCACAAAGAGGTAATGAGAAAATCCCTTAACGGAATGGAAGAAAAAAATTCAAGAAATGGAGGAAAAGACAAAACAAAATTACAAGAAATAATTAAAAGAGTACAAGGTTTGAAAGCTGAAATAGATAGAAAAAAAATAGTTTCAGGGAATGCTGGAAGTAGGAAAGTTAGGCAAATGATAGGAATTACAGATGCAAACATAACCAACCAAACACATGAGATGGAAGAGAGAATCTCAGGTGTGAAAGATACACTAGGAGAAATAATATATTTTCATACACCAAAGAAAATCGTAAGTC